CCAAGGCGGATGCTAGCAGTTGGGGCATTCAAGAGCACTTCCAAGTTTCCATGGCCGTCAGACAGGCCTTGTTGGTCGACCAGTTGGACGCCTTCAATTTGTTGAGCATTGAGGTACAATTCAGGCGGCTACAAACCATCGAGTTCTCCTACTCCGAGAAAGCACGTGAACTGGAGGCCAAATCTGTGGGCGGGAGGCTCTCCCTCGAAGAGCAAACGACGTTTGGCGGGGTGACTCGCCAATTCTCCACCCTGATGATTTGTCCAGAGTTGTTGACCCACGTCAAAGAAGAAACAGAACGGGAGGCATCGTTGGCCAAGAATTTGAGGAAGGCTCGTGAGGAAAGGGAGGCTGCGAGGCGCAAGGGCGGCAAGCAGTCGGAGAACCCTTGAACTACAAGATGCAGGCTGGTGAAGGTCCTAGCTGGCCTGTTGAACAATCAGGACTTGACCACACCCGGAAGACAGACAGAGATATTTTTCCTTTACCTCATGTACAGCATACATTGCCACCCTTGGGACTTTTCTCGCGGAAGAGCCGTCAGAGGATCGGCCGGAGGAGGCATTTTGAGGAGGAGGTTGAGCACACGGTCCAATCGCTCAAGGCGATGTACGGCCGGCCTGACAAGGGTTTGCGAGGCGGAGTTCATCTTCCACAGCAGGCCCCTAGCCGGGCTCAGACACGTTTTCTTGAATTCATTGAGCAAGCAAATAGGAGGGTTGGGGCTCCCCCTGACCTCTCCGGCCCAGAGGCCCTTGAGGAGCTTCGGGTTCAAGAGGGGTATGCCGAATTGCCTACGGCATCGCCACTCGGGTCCTTCGATCCCGAACTTGTTTCATTGCCGGCGGGAGACAAACAGCCAGTGCCTCTCGCTACGTTGTGGGGCAAGGACGGGCAACAAGAGGTGGAGGATTTCACTCGCACTCAGACGCTTGGGGCTGCAGAGGCTCATAGAAGGCTGGAGGCGAGTGGTGTCGTGAAATGTTATGAGGATCCACAACTCAGAGACCCCGTCAAGTACAGATCGTTTATACAGACATTGCATCGTTTGAACCTGGTTTCATTTCAGCGTGAAGCCCCAGTGGAGAGAGTTGGCATTTTCTTTGTCAGGAAGAAAGGCGGAAAACTCCGCCTGATACTGGATTGCCGCAGGGCCAACTGTTGGTTTGAGGAGCCGGAGGGAATCCACCTGGCCACAGGTGATAGCATTGGTCGGTTGGAGTTGTCCGAGGAGGCACCCCTTTATGTTTGTTCAGCAGACCTGCAAAATGCTTTCTACACTATGGCGATGCCGGAAGCGTTGAGGCCGTTTTTTGGTCTGAGGCGAGTCACGGCAGAGAGCATGGGCCTGACAACGTTGGAGGGCAGCCCACTTCGTCCGGGTGACTGGATATACCCTGTGGTGTCTGTCATTCCTATGGGATGGACGCATGCCATGGTGTGGTGCCAGCGGATCAATGAAAGGATCTGTGAAGAAGCAGGGCTGACGAACTCAGAGCGGCTCAGAGATGGCAGCAGTGTTCCCTCCGGTGATTTTTGGCACATTCAATATGTTGACAATCTCCATGTTTTTGGTACAAACAAAGCAATTGTTGAGGAGCGTTTCTGGCGGGCAGTTGAGGCCCTTCGGGGCCGTGGGCTCACAGTGCACGAGATAGAGGTGAATGAAGGGGAATGTCAGGTGCTGGGCTGGGCAGTCGATCGGGCTGGACTCTTCGGCCCGACCCTCAAAAGACTATGGAGGGCTAGGCTGGCTGTCCGTGAGATCTTGAGGAGAAATGCTGCAAGTGGCCAACAGTTAGAGAGGCTGCTCGGGCACATCACCTTCATCTCCCTGTGCCGCAGGGAGGCTCTATCAGTGCTGGGTGAGACCTACACTTTCACCCGGAAGAACTACACCAGAGTTGCGCCTTTGTGGAAAAGTGTGAGGAAAGGGCTGAGCACATGGGACGGGATCTCACCCCTGATTTTTGTCAACCTGCGTGCACCATGGTCCACCACCTTGTACTCCGTTGACGCCTCGGACTGGGGAATGGGAGTCACCACTTCAAACATCACCCGTGACGAAGCTTCGATGTTGGGGAAGTACACAGAGAGGTGGAGGTTCAAAGACCCGCTGGCCAAGAATCCAAGACGTCATGCGCTGGCGGCTCAGGCAGTTGGCGCTACAGCGGAAGGAAGAGAGCAGGCGGAGACTTGGGCCGTATTTGGTGCGCCGGAGTTGGCGTCGAAGTTTCAGGCTGTTGGTTTTGAGTTTGTTGACAGATCATGGAAACTGGTTGGTAGGCACCGATGGTTGCGTGAGGAGAGCATGCCGGTTTTTGAAGCTAGGGCCACACAATATGCTGTTAGGCATTCATTGAGGACTGTTGGCAACCAGCAAACTAGGTTCGTGATTTTGACAGACTCTATGACAGCAGCAGTTTCCTTTGACAAGGGACGATCCCAAGGGTTCCGATTGAGAAGAGTTCTTCAGCAGACAGCGGCGTTGTGTTTGGGCTCAGGGCTCTGTTTCAGGTCTCGTTGGATCCCGTCAGAGTGGAATCCAGCTGACCGTCCCAGCCGGAGTGGATGGACACCTTCCACACCGAGGCTCCTTCAGGCAGATGATACACCGCCAACTGGGAGTACAGGCCACATGGGACAGACCCTCAAAGAAAAGCCGCTGCTCAAAACCGAAGAGCAGTGGGGTCTCCACACCCACGGGACCGATGCCACCCATGGCCCCGTTGACATGGGACATAGAGATGAGCACCGCAAGTGGCGGGGCAAAAAGGAAAGAGAGGGCGGCAAGAAGAGCAAGAGCAAAGCAGGCGGATCCACAGCACACTCTCCGGAACAATGCAGTGGGGCCCCGGACTTTGCAGCAGTACAACAAGCATTGGAAAGATTTTGTCGAGTGGACAGGCTGTCTGGTGAGCGAGGCTGCGTGTCTCCCAACGATAGACAGCCACCTTGCCGACTATCTGGAGATGCTTTACCACAAAGGAGAAGATCTGAGCCAAGCAAACTATGCCACGGCTGCAGTGATGTTCAAGGTCCCAGGCACAAAGGGCCTACACCAGCTGCCGAAGTCACAGCAGGCGATGAAGGGCTGGAGGCGATTGTGTCCGGCTCGGAGTCGCTTGCCAGTTCCATACGAGGTGGTTTGTTTGCTCAGTCAAGTGGCCTTAAAGAGCGGGAAGGGGGAGCTGGCCATTGCCCTCCAACTGATGTTCCTACTCTACCTGAGGCCATCCGAGATCACAACACTGAGGGTGCAAGACATAGTGCCCCCAGTGAAGACCAGGGGCCGGCGCTACCCCCACTATGCCGTGCTGCTACATCCCACCGAAGCGGGGATTCCTTCAAAGACAAAGCAATGGGACGAGATGTTGACATTGGACCTCCCACATCAACAGTTTGTGGGCCCGACATTGTTCAAGATCCTGAACCTGGCAAGCCGACCAAAGGACGACCCGGCTTTCAGTGTCACTCTGGAGGAGATCAACGACTTCATGGGTCAGCAATGGAAGGCACAGCGGCTCACCAGCCTCGGCCCTCCTCACCTTTACCGTTTGAGGCACGGGGGGGCGAGTTTCGAGGCGGCTGGCAAGCACCGCGACATGGTGGGAATCCAAGCCAGGGGCCGTTGGCAGACAGTCAAGTCGGTCAAGAACTACGAAAAGGGCGGCCGGCTGCAGCAACTTTTCGCCGCCCTCCCAAAGGCAGTTCAGAAGCGCTGCACCGAGGCTTTCCGCGACATGGCCAAAAGTTTCCGCAGCCTGCATTGAGCAATAGAGTGGTTTTGCATTTTGCAGTGTTTTTGGAGATCTTTAGTGGTTGCGGTCGCCTTGGGAAGAGCATACATCGTGTTTGTGGGTGGCCTGTCTTATTTTGGGACATTTCCTATGGCCCGGACGGAATATGATTTGACCAGCCGGTTGAATCAACAGAAGATCCTGCATTGGCTTCAGACTGGCCAAGTTCGTGCTGGTCATTTGGGGACACCGTGCAACTCCTTCTCGAGGGCCAGGGATCAACCCGGGGGACCGCCACCCCTCCGGAGCGACAAGTATCCCATGGGCCTGTCAGGCCTAAAACCTCACGATGCGCTCAAGGTCAAGCTTGGCAATGCGCTGCTCTTTTTCTCTTGCCGTGTTTTGTTGCTGGCACTCCACTATGGGATTGCAATGACGCTGGAAAACCCCCGGAGATCGCGACTATGGATCACTAGCAGTGTCCAGCGTCTCACGCGTAGACGTGCAGCTTGCATAGCACATGTTGATTTTTGCATGTTTGGCACCCCATGGAAAAAGCCAACAACAATCATGGGCATACACATCAATTTGGATTTGCTTCAACCTTATCGCTGCATCGGCACCAAGCGGGCCTGCTGCCTTTTGAGTGGGAAGCCTCATGTCCCTCTCACTGGCCACGCCCCCAATGGTTGTTGGTACACAAAGCTGGCTGAACCTTATCCACTCCGGTTCACTCGTCTGTTGGCACAGGCCTTCTTGAATACGGACCTCGCTAGCATTGCCCGGGATTTCAGTCGATACTTGAGTTGACGGCCTAACCAGAGGGCTTCTCAAACTTGGGTCGCAATTTTGGGCATTCGATGAGGACACCTTCGAAGTTCTGAGCTTTCAGCAGCGCTGGAGATGAAACCATCTCTGGCTAGCGCCATGTGAACCACTGGCCATGGAAAAGCGAGAGAACGTTTCATATTTGTCTTGACAGGTTTGATGAGTTGATGGGTTACGAATGGCCGCATGACACCACGCTCAAGCAACACCCGCCCCTTGCAACCCACCCGTGCTTGGGTGTCGGGCATTCGATGAGGACACCTTCGAAGTTCTGAGCTTTCAGCAGCGCTGGAGATGAAACCATCTCTGGCTAGCGCCATGTGAACCACTGGCCATGGAAAAGCGAGAGAACGTTTCATATATATATATATGGGTGGTCTCTCAATACCAGCGCATGCGTCGCCACTGATATCGCAGCCTTTGCTTTGTCAGGACCCTCCACCACAGCCGACAGAAGCTACTGTCATTTCCGCCGAAGCGAAGGCACTGGCCTTTGAAGCCCCACGTTCCAAGCAGCTTTCTTGAAGTTTGGAAGTAGTGCGAGACAAAGGTTTGCTAAAGTCAACGGAATGGCAACTTGTGCTTGGGCAGGTTGAAGAGCCAGAGGTCAAAGCAGTTGCAGCAGATCCTCCCAAACACGAGGAGGACAACATGTTTATCTATCTATATTTTTTCATAGCTATCTATTTGGAGCGTTCTCGGTGCAATTCTAGCGGAATAAAAGTCGCTTGAAAGCGCCGTTCGTGTAGTGGAGTTCCAGCTGTTGATTGAATAGAGGTGCAAGTTTTTACTTTTTAAGTTGTGACACAGTTAGCAGAATGATTGGTCATGGGTAACAGTTGTTTCTGTTGTGGAAATGAACACCTCGCAAAGAATAGGCTTCAAAGAAGTACATGTTCGGCTTGCTCGTCCTTCCCGTGTCAGCTTGGGGCCGTTTCCGACAGACATGTGTTGTGCTATATGGGTGGTCTCTCAATACCAGTGCATGCGTCGCAAGTGATATCGCAGCCTTTGCTTTGTCAGGACCCTCCACCACAGCGGACAGAAGCTACTGTCATTTCCGCCGAAGCGAAGGCACTGGCCTTTGAAGCCCCAAGTTCCAAGCAGCTTTCTTGAAGTTTGGAAGTAGTGCGAGACAAAGGTTTGCTAAAGTCAACGGAAGGACAACTTGTGCTTGGGCAGGTTGAAGAGCCAGAGGTCAAAGCTGTTGTGGCAGATCCGCCCAAGCACGAGGAGAACAACACATTGTTGTTAATAAATAGATGACAGCGCGGTTCGTGTAGTGGAGTTCCAGCTGTTGATTGAATAGAGGTGCACGTTTTGACTTTTAAGTTGTGACACAGTCAGCAGAACTCTTGGTCATGGGTAACAGTTGTTTCTGTTGTAGAAACGATGAATAGGCTGCAAAGAAGTATGTGTTCGGCTTGCTTGTCCTTCCCGTGTGCAGCTTTGCTGTTTCCGACAGACATGTAGCCGGTAGCCAAACACTGCTTGCTCGCTTTTTGATAGAGAGGCCTCCATAGCACCGAGATCTTGCATAGTCTGCAACATAATCTGCCATGGCTCATTGTTTTCTCTGAGCAGCACACCTGAATAGCTTTCAGAGTCAGAAGAGAAGCAGGCTTTGTCTCCTCAAGTAGCCCCAATTGAAATACGTGTACCTCTCAGAACTGCTCTGGCTCAAGAACTTTGTGAAGTCGAACTGAATGGCAAAATTCTAAAACATCATATCTGAACGTCCCCCGGCTTCTGCTTGGCGTCTGCTGTGTCCTTCCACAGAAAGAAACCAAAGGGGCAACTAAGCCCCTCTGACAAATCAAAACGGCTCAATGACCACGTTTTTGTTTTTGTGCTTGAGACCACAGAACCAATTGTGCATTCGCTTCGCCCTGCATTTGCATGATGAAGGGCACTAGACTTGCCCTAGAAGGCTGACAAGAAATAGGGCTGAACGTGAATAAAGAGAGAGCAGGAAGCTCCATCAGATGATTTTAAAGATCAGGACTGCTCCATCAGAAAGCCGTAGAAGAATTATCGGCAGCAACCGCCAAGCAAGATCTCTGCATGCGCCGGGCCACTAGCGTAGGATTTCGCTGGCGATTTCCGCTTGACATCAGGTAAATGTTTGGCGAGATTCTTTTAAATTTGGTTTCGATTGCTAGAGATCAACTGCAAAAAGTTGCAGCAAAAGGCAGAAAGCTGAACTTAGCAGATGCCAAGCAGAAATTAGAGGATGTTCAGATATGACGTTTTAGAATTTTGCCACTCAGTAAATGGGGCTACTTGAGGAGACCAAGAAGAAGAAACAAAAGAAGAAGGGCAGGAAGACGGTGAGAACCTCAGCCACACCATGATCTTGGACGACCCAATGGTTTTGCAAATGTTTGAGTTGTTCCTTTTTAAGTTGGTCCCTGAAGAAGAGACTGGTTATGGTCGCCATGTCTCAAGCTGCGTCAATTCTCCCCAAATCTCGAGGTCTATGCAGTTTTTCAGGTGCGTATGGATTATGTGGAGAGCAGAGTAGTTACTTCAAAAGTTGAAACTGAGCTGAAGACGCCTCTCTGTCAACTTATGGACGACCATGCGCCGGTTCTGTCAGACAAGGGGCCGTTGGAGGTGAACATTTAAACTATGTATACTCTAACGGACAACCAAGGTCTAGGGTGCCACGTCAATTCCAGGGGTCTTGGTTTTCGGCCAAGGCAATCCTTCCCAAGAAAGGGTTCACCGGACAGCTACCGGCCCAGGCCGGGTTGTTGAAGTTTGTTGAGGGTCGTCGGATAGGACATGGTAGGGCCGCCCCAACAGCTCTGCGTTGTTCACAACGTCGCGCCGACACCGACGTCGAGCCTCTTTGCTAACGTAGTGGATTAAATCACCTTCCTGTGCGAGAGCCACCGGCCATTCCATTTTATCCCACACTGCCGGATGCGGCGTGGCAGATCAGCGAGCGCTTCAAGGGCACGGTTCAGGTCCGGAGGGAGGAACACATGGCTTGGGCGTGCTACGGCATGCTTCGTCATAGCCAGGATTGATTTCTGCCATGCGACGGGTACCGCGTTGTTTTGACCTTGAGACAACTCCCTTTTTGCCGCTTCTCAGTAAATTAGCAGAGACATATATGGACAACTTGCTTCAAAGTAGTTGGGACCTGACTTGAACAGACTTCAATACTTGTAGCTCATTGAGCCGTTTTGATTTGTCAGAGGGGCTTAGTTGCCCCTTTGGCTTCTTTCTGTGGAAGGACACAGCAAATGCCAAGCAGAAGCTGGAGGACGTTCAGATATGATGTTTTAGAATTTTGCCATTCAGTTCGACTTGACAAAGTTCTTAAGCCAGAGCAGTTCGGAGCAGTGCGTGCCAATCAAATTGGGACTGCTTGAGGAGATAAACCTGGAGGCCAAGTGGGAAGGTTTTTGACTCTTCCTGCAGGAGCACCAAGTGGCAAGTGAGGAAAATGTCGAGTTGGAGACCACCATTGCGTTGCAGGCCATCGCTATTGGGTTGGAGGCGATTGCTATTAGGTTGGAGGCCGTCGCTATTGGGTTGGAGGCCGTCGCTACTAGGTTGGAGTATCGCTGTTGGGTTGCAGGATCACTATTAGGTTAGAGGCCATTGCTGTGGCGCTGTTAGGATGGAGGCGATTGGTGTAGTGGAGGCCATTGCTATCAGGTCATTAGGCTGGAGACGGGTTCGAAACAGCGGTGAGTCGATGCCGCCAGGCGATCTGATCCGAGTCAAGGCAGAACATCCACTTGCTGGTGAGCTATTTGTTTGAACATTCACCAGGGCTGTTCATTGTACATACTCAGTGCAGAGAGGCGAGCCAGTGCGGAAGCTGAGAATGATGAGTGGTTTGTAACGGTTTGTCGTGCAAGTGTTCCTTTCGACAACTAGCTTAGTCTCCTTCCCCTTCTCACAGGCAGTTGCTTCTTGCCGCCTCCTTTGCTTTTCGTTACATCACTTTCAAGTTGTCTCGCCGAAATGGCAAAGGATTTGTGCTTCTAACAGCATGTGAAGCACAATTCTGATTGATTTATTGGTGATTGTTTGCCGACACGGGGCAAGGTTCCATTCCTCAAGTGAAAGCACATTTCTGCATTCGACCAGTCAAAATGGTGCTTGCATCAGGAGAGTGAGAGCCAATGGGTCCGCAGAATTGCTTCAAAGTGCTCAGGCCATGATCTTAAATGTGTATTGGTTTCAACAAACTTGGTCTCATTCTTCCAAGCGCATCTGGGCTTGTTTTGCAGCTTCTGGGCTCTCAGCTGTCGGTGAGCTGTTGAATGCGTTCTCGGAGATCACAAAAAATAGCAAGCCAAGAGCTTTGGCATTTCCATTGCGGGCTTTGATCGAATCTATTCCAGATCTCTTACCTGTCGTTTGGTGTGTTGTCTCCGTTGCATGAGGTTTGGTTGGAGTCGTCTTGCGAAAGCTACAAGCCTGAGCTGCGGCTTGGCTTAGGCAGACCAACATCTCGGACAAAGCATTCCATTTCCGCAACTCGCATGGTGCTCAAGTGGCTGGATGACGGAGGCCAAGGTTTTGGGCGGGGCGATCAACTTGATGGACTGACGGAAGAGGACAGACAAGAAATCCCTTTTCCTTTTATATTTGTTGCTTTTCCTTCTTCTCTGTTTTGTTTCTTCTTCATCATCTTCATGTTCTTCTTCTTCTTCTTCTTCTTCTTCAAAGACAGGATATACATATGAGCAAACACTTTTCTTCAGGCTTTACTAAAGTAGTCTACGGCATGCTCTGTTTGTTTGTCTATCATCAGTGTTCGCCTGTGAACGAGATAGGGCCCCCACATCAACAAGATACTTTTGCTTCATGACACTCAAGTAGTCTGAACAAGATAGTGGGATGCAGTTGCGTCTACTTTTTCTACCCTCTCTTCTACCACCTCACACCTGTGAGCCCTGACACCGAAAAGGCCCTTCGAGAAGGCACGCATCACCGAAACCACTGGCTCCTGGTGTGCCGGACCCTTCAGCACCATGAGGCGGCGAAGCAGGGAGGGTCTTGCGGTCTGGGAAGTGAAATGGTTTGATGATTTGCTTTGCTTGGTGCCTGGAGAAGAAACTTGGTGAAGACCTTTGGATGCTGTTGAGACTCGGCCCGAGCTGGCCGCTTCGTCGGCTTAACCTCCAGCGGCTTCGTCTCTGTGAGTTTCAGCAAAGCTCTCGGAATTACTGAAATCATCATGGAAGTGGATGGCGTGGCCACGAAAAGATGACCCTGAAATCTCAATACCGGACCGATGGTGCCATCCACTTGAATGATGATTTCAGGGAGTGTGCAGTATGGCGTTCTTTTTTTAACTCAGAGCGAAGCTCTCTCGCACCCCCTGCAAGTGGAGCCGTAAACCTTGGCTCATTCCTAATAAAAGAAAAGGCCCATAAACAAAACTGGAAACTGGGTTGCCCCTCACGTCCAGCCCACTCAGCCGCTCGCCGCTCTGGCGGCCATGCCTTGGCTCCGCCTCGCATCGTGACAGCGCAGCGGTCGTTACAGCGATCGCGCTGGCTTTTTGGATGATGACACTTCGTACATTTTTGGAAATCGCTGCAAGATGACACGCCAAATCGCTGTTTGATTTCTTTAAACAGTCCTTCAAGTCTGGAGCTTCTTCACCTAAGCAGTTGGTAGGGCTCGTGGATCATCGTAAACCTGGATTTTGCATTTAATAAGTGACGTGTCGTACTTTAACTTTTTCCTTTGGAATGAACAACCAAACTTTCTCAGTGCCGGACACACGATGCCTGGCCGGTTTTCAGTTGAGAGAGAGAGAGTCCCTGTGCAGGCGCACCCTGGCACACTCATCGCCACAGATGCCAGCACGGTCGCCTGTGGCTTAGCTTGGGCCATCGGTGAAGTGCAGCGAGAGGACGTGGTAGAATGAACGAAAAGGAAAGGGAAGGGGCCCTCCCAAACAACGGACTGGATTTACTTCAAGATCCATCTGAACATGAGCCAAGCAACCAACAAGCGGCAGCGCACGACAGTCTGGTGGCATTCTCTTGCAGTGAGTCGGTGGCACGTTGCCGCATGTTGTCAAGGCCATTTTGCGGCTAGAGAAGTACGGTGAGCTCTCCACAGACCTTCGGAAAATGCTGAACGCGCCTGAGCAGCAAGGTTTGAATGTTTGAAGCCATCACTATCTCGATCTGGACTCACCTTATCATTTATGTTTATAAAGATCTATCAACAGTCATAAATAGCCTCCATTGGCTTCGATGCGACTCCAAATAACTGTAGTGTTTATGTACTGCCTGGGCCAGATTTATCGGGCATGTCCCTTTTCAACAGAATTGGAGAGTTTCAATCAAGGTCCTCGTTTGGCACCTTTTGACCCTTGCAGAATAAGCCGCGCTCGTTTCTCGAGGCTGATCTTCTTCGGCAGTGGCCATCTACGTGAGAACGTGAGAGGAACGGCTCAGGTGCCGCTCTCGCAACATCCCGAAGTCCAGTGACGCCAAGGCAGGCTGATGGTGGAAAGTTGGGTAAGCTGGGTATGCTGTAAAGAGAAAGTAGATGAAAGTAGAGCAAAGTAGCGTGACAAGGATGCAAAGAATCAGACTGGACTTGAGTCTGACTTGTATGATTTTTCTGTTTTTGTTTGTATATGAGACGAGGACATGTCGCTGCCGCCATTTGGTCGAGCTTCTTCCCCCACACGAGGTCTCTCTTCGGCAATAACCGCAGATCAGCTGCACCGAGACTTTTTTGAGACGAAGCTGAGGCAGGGAAGGGCCTTTTCCAGTGTGAGGTAGAAATTCCATCATCCAGCAGTGGCGCTTGAAGAAATAGGGTGCGAAATTCATGGGTTCCAGGTCGGGTGGCGCTTCACAAATCTGGAATTTGGAAACTTATTTCGTGATATGTCATGTCAACATCGGACTCTGGGCTTCGGAAACCTATTATGACTAAGTTGCTACCAAGCTTGTTGGAACTGAAGGGGCGTGGGACACCAATTAGCGTGAAGCCCCAAAAATTCCTCGAAGCGCCTCACTCTCCCAGGCATGTCCCCTCGTAGGTTCCCAGAAGAACCCCTCATTGCGCGCTCCGCAACTGCTGACAGCTGCTGACAGCTGCCAGCCGTCGCCTCGCAGGAGTCGAAAAGACATCCCACAGGGCTCCTGGACGACGATCCCCGGGAGGCACTCCGCAGTGGAGCCGAAAGATCCAGCGGAGAGGATGGTGGAATTGGAGATCGTCCTGGTCGTGACTTTCGGTCGAGCGTTTTGTTGGCGAGTTGGGAACGGTTCCATGGGGGAGCTGGCAGTTTCGGTCCTTGGTTCTGGCGACATTTGGTTGTTATTTGGCTGCTCGGGTTTTCGGGCAACACATCTCTCAATTTCTGATCCCGATCGAATGGGAAGCGTGGCTCGTTTCCATTTTTTTTTTGACCGAAGGTTGGACAGCTGTGGACTCGGAAGATTTGGGATCCTTTGGGATCTTTTTTTGGAACCAACGCTGCAGTGGGAGTTGGGAGATGGTCTTCCCAAATTCCCGAGACCAGAAGGACATGTCCAAAAGGGTGAAGATTGGCATTGGTCATCCGGATGGAGCGACTCTGCCGACATCCTTCGAGGCCGTGTCGGACCCCAAACCCAACGGCGGACAGCGGCGGAGCGGTCGGTGCGGCGAATGCGGAGGCAGAACGAGCACCCCATTCCACGACTCGGACTCGGGTGGTCAAGGTGCCTGCGTGACGGAGATCCAGGGTTTTGAGGGTGGGGAGCGACTGAATGGACTGACGGAAGTGGAAAGAAAAGGTATTTGAACAAACTTCATTTCCCTTCGTCTTCTTCTTCTTCTTCTTCTTCTTTGCCGAACAGGGTTGTTGGATGTCCTTGGCAATTTTCATAGGCCTCTCAATGAAGTGCTTTCTTTTTTGCATCGCTTTGAGCCCTGCGTTCACGCACTCCAGACTTCCGCAGGCTGCTGAGTGCCGGGTGCCATTCGTCTGGTCGCTTGAGGGTGGAGCCCCTTGGCCTCACAATATCGCGGATTGACGCCCCAACATCGCATCGCTTCCCTGTGGCGGTTAGGAGGAGGCGATCTCCATGACCGAAGCTAGATCTTCCATCCGGATTCCCCAAGCTAAATCACCTCCCACCTCGCTTCGCCTGTCTCGCGGTGTCCGCAAAGTCCCGCCCCAGGTGGACCCGGAATCCCCACAGCGAGACCGTGTGGATCTGAGCAATGGCGCAGTGAGCGTCCTCTCTGAGCCTTCCCCTAAACATCGCTCCGAAAAAGGAAAAAAGAAGAGGAGGACTCTTTTCCGTTCTTTGTTCCAATGTGTTTTGTGTCTCTCCCAACGCCCCTATGGCAGGGCGTGCGATGTGGCATTTGGCACCTGCTTTTTCTACCCTCTTTTCTACCAGCTCACACCTGCAAGGCCTGACCAGACCCTTCAGCACCATGAGGCGGCGAGCGGGGAGGGTCTGGCGGTCTGTGAAATGAAAATCCTCCGTCTCTTAGGGAGTGTGGTTTCATGGTGGGCCTTGCTTGGTGCCCGGAGAAGAACTTTGGTGAAGACTTCTGGACCCCGACTGCAGTTGGAGACTCGGCCCGAGCTGGCCGTGAGTTTCAGCAAAGCTTTCAGACTTACACTGAAATCGTCATGGAAGTGGACGGCATGCCCCCGAAAGGACCCTGAAATCTCAATACCGGACCGATGGTGCCATCCACTTGAATGATGATTTCAGGGAGTGTGCAGTATGGCGTTCTTTTTTTAACTCAGAGCGAAGCTCTCTCGCGCCCCCTGCAAGTGGTAAACCTTGGCTCATTCTTGATACAAGAAAAGGCCCATAAACAAAACTGGAAACTGGGTTGGCCCTCACATCCAGCCATGGTCGAACATCTTTTTTGCAACTTGAGAAGGCCACATGGAATTGGTTCACTGTTTGAATCTTGAGGCCACCTTTGAAAGCACGTATTGGGGCGGAACCTCTTTGTTATGACCCGTCACAGGATTTTTCGGCGGTTCGTCACATCACCCTGGAATCGATTCTCGGTGTGGGGCAGGAGGCCTTCGAGAAGATTCGAGAGAAGATTCGGGCTGTGAGGACAGTGAGGACTCACTGGGCTGAGAGAGGGGCGTTGCCTTCACGAACAAGCCCACATGGCCAACACATTTCAGAAGGCTAAAAAACATCTTGAATTCACTTCGCTTGAAGTTTAAACTTGGGGAAGGCGAAGAACCTTTCGCAGCTCTGATCTGTTGCGCCCAGGACGCAGTGCCGTGGCCGTCGCCTGACAACGGCGCCCGCGTCGGTCGGTCTGGGGTCGGCCCGGTCGGAAGTCTCTGCAGTGGACATGAAGAGATTCATTGGGTTTGGCCCAAGAACGTCGTAGCTCTTGTTTTCTTCTTCTTCTTCAGTTTTACTTACCTGCAACAGTCGGTAAAGAAGAACAAGGCCTGCAACCAGGCCCCTTCATCATCCACTGTTGCTGCTCATCGGATAGATCTAACATATGAATTTCCTGGCATTTCAACCACGGAGGTTCCTCTTTGTGTTTCTGGAGCACTGTATCCATATCATTCTGGAACCCAAGTGTGCAATCTGGAACGCAAATTCGCTTGAAGCTTCGCATGCGAAGCTAGTTTGAAGTCTAGTTCACTCGTGTCAGCAGCAGATCCAAGCAGTCCCAGAGACCGGGCCCCGTCTCTCTTCGTTTGGGACATTTGGGTCGGAGATGTTTGGCTTTTCGAGTCCCAGCGGCTCGCGCGTCCCATCCGGGGCACGAGGCCCATCCCCGTAGCGACAGAGGCGTGAATGCCGGACAGCATGGCGCTTTGGAAAAACGACGACTGTGATGCCGTCAGAGTGTGGCGAGGGAGGTAGGGGGAAACGATTCCTTGTGTACCAGCAGAGGTTGAAGAATCCTATAGACTATCCTATAGGTACTCCTGTAGGGTCCTATTAGGTAGTTCGTGCCGACGACTGGACTTCAAGTGCTGCAACCCAGCTCAACAGCAAATCCTTCTCTTCCATACGGTTGTTCCTTACTCTGGACCATTTTTGATGGGTTCGTGGGTGGGTGGTGTGCTGCTGCTGGTGGGTGGTGTGGCATTTTGTAGGTTGGTTAGTTGCCAGTGCTCGATGTAAATTGCCTTGCTTCAGTTGGGCTGTGCACATCTCTTCGTATTGGAGAGTTTTGGATCATTGTGTGGGACCCGATGGTTGGAATCATGGCTGTGCTGCATTGAAGGGACGGTGGTCGGGGAGGGTGCACTAAGAAAGCCTTAGTTGGCTGCGTCTAAGTTCTTCCTTAAGAATCAAGAAAACAACCCCTGAACTCCAACACTAAATCCAAAACCCAAGTCAGTGCCAACACTGAAGATATGTTTCACTCCAAAGCAATACAGCGAAAAAGGCGACTCTTTGTAAAGACCGGGGCCCTGTTTGCAGAGGAAAACTATTTTTGCAGAGGGCCATGTTCCACTTCCATGATTGTTTCAGGGAGGGTAACAGCATGGTAACAGCATGTTATTCTGCAGCTTTTCCAGTGTGTAAAGCTGGTTACCGCACCGCTCTTCGACGCAGCTCGAAGCTCCGCTGCACGGGAGACACGGGCGCACGGTGTGGGAATGGTGCTCCAAAAAGCGGCGCACGGTCCGCAGGTGGTGGGCGACGCCAGCGTTGGCCTTTGCTTTGTTCAACGGTCAATGTGGAGGAAACAGAAGAAGCTGCAAAAGAGACAAGCAATGGGAAACAGTCATGCAGTACGTAGACGCAGTGGCACCCATGCCACTCCGTTCCGTGCGTTCGCCGCTTCCTTGGCCGATGAATTTTTGATTGCTTAATCGTCCGTGCTGCGTTAGCTGATCTCTGCACCACCCTGTGTGGTGCAGGTGGTGTGTACACAAGATTGTTGCTTTCAAGCCACGGCGGGGAGGTCTGAGAATGTGGCGGTGTCCCTACGACCGTGGTCTGAATGATTTGGTTCCAGAATTCTAGCATTTCCGACAGCTTCTCGACTTAGTGGTCGCCTCAGGACATGGACCTTGAGCGCTTGCGCCAGATTGGGCACGGGACGTCAGACCTGTTTGATGAAATCATTGCCAAGAACTCCATGCAGGGCCCAGACATCGCCGGGGTTATATGTGTTTGGGTTGTCATTTTTCCGTTGCTCCGAAGTAGGAGAGTTCCAGCACTTTGGCCGGCTCGCGACCCTCTGTAGTCCAAGGCTGGATGTCATGTTGGTAGAGCCCATTTTGCTGTGCCTTGGAGCGAGGGTGGTGGAAGGAACCAGCTCTTGTTCGCTGCGGTGGACGAAGTGGAGCAACATGGTGAAGGTTCCCTAAGTACAGTTGCCCTAGCTCAGTGATTCAAATCTGACCCAAGTTCTATGCGCGCAAAAGCGTTTCGATCACGGTAGAGTCATCTTGTAGTGCTTTGGTAATGTAATCACAGCTATGGAGCCCCCAGTCCAGCCAACTCTCAAGTCTGGAGGCACTTCAAGTCAGAATGAATATGAGAACCTATCCTTGCTAGGCAACGTTATGTATTTACGCATACACATGCATATACCAAGGCGCCGCATGAAGACTGATGGAGACTATGTGGAGGTGGGGGAGGGTGTTGGCAAACGGGGGTTGACGGTAGAGGGGTAAGCAAGCGAGAAGCCTCATGCGGCTTGCAGGCTTTGTGCGCGCAATTTTACATGAGCCTGGCCGAGGGTATGTTTTAACGTGATTTTGATCGCTAAAGATCCGGACTGCTCCTTCAGAAAGCCGTAGAAGAATTATCGGCAGCATCCGCCGAGCAAGATCTCTGCGGTGTTTGGCTGTGACATGATATGCAGAATTATACTGTCGTACTCAGCTTAAGGGGATAGATCCCACAAATGACTGACGTTGCCACTCAGTTCGACTTCGCAAAGTTCTTGAGCCAAAGCAGTTCGGAGCAGCGCTTGTTTTTATTAATTGGGGCTACTTGAGGAGAGCAAGAAAAAGAAGGGCAGGAAGACGGTGAGAACCTCAGCCACACAATGATCTTGGACGACCCAATGGTTTTGCAATTGTTTGTGAATTTCATTTAGTTGTTCCTTATACAGTTGGTCCCTGAAGAAGAGGCTGGTTATGGTGGCGATGTCTCAAGCTGCGTCAATTCTCCCAAAATGTCCAGGTCTATGCAATATACAGGCGCATATAGATTCTGTGGAGAGCAGAGTAGTTATTTCAAAAGCTGAAACTGAGCTGAAGAGCGTGATGTTTGGTCATTGGGCATTGGGTAACGCCTCTCTGTCAATTTATGGATGACCACGCACCAAGTTTTGTACCAGGTGAAGCTTGCCCGACATCATGCCTCTCATCAATGATATTCCGCTTACCTACCAGTGACCACTGGAAGTGATCGGTTCCGAACTATACGAAACCCATTCCTTCAGAGCAGAAAACTTCAGCAGAATGGCCCGAAACACTCGGGATGTGGCCTAAACGCATCTGATCGTCAGTGGAAACTTTGCATCTGAGTTCTTAGTAGATGAAGGTTTGCTGTAGTTTTTATACACAATCCAAACTTACGTGTCATTGTCCAAACCTTCTCGGCCGCATGCTCATGATGAGTGTGACGATGAACGGGCGAACTTGCCGCTGCCGTTTGAGGTGAAAGCCGACGGCCGCGGCCGCCTGGGCCAGAGCCTCAAAAGAGCTGTCCCCATGTCTGATGGCTACGCTCCCCTTCGTTGGAGATGGTTTTTGGGCTATGATTGGCTACTGGCTATGCAGTCTGACAAAAACGTAGGATATCGCAGGAGATACTTTTCTCATCAACTCTCTATTACATTTTTTCAGTGAGGAGAGGGCGCGTCTTTTCCCTTATGATCAAACACCATCTAGCGTTTGCAGCAGCAGCTAGTGCAGCTCTCCAATGGATGAAGTGGCTTCTTGTCTCAGAAGCGAGCCCTTCGCATCTCGGACCCCAACCGTCTCGGCGTCCAAGGCTGAAGATTGTCGAGGGCGAGCCGATACTCCTCCTGTGCTTCACGGGCTGGGGCGGAGGATGATGGGAGGACGGAAGCGGTTTTCGGGAATCCAAAGCAGAGTGGATTGGCACACGCATACTTGAAGATGCTCCAGAATTTAGAGTTGGTTGACCTGGGGGCTCCATAGCTGTGATGATATCACCAAAGCGCTAGAAGATGACTCTATGCGGTGAAAGTAGCTGATCAATCCGGGCGTTTCATGTCCTTTTTTTGCGCGCGTAGAACCAGGGGTACCACGTTATTGGCGTGGGCTTGCAGGATACTACGTACATGAATATATTCAAGTTAGGCCAACAAAAGTTAGCCATACAGGCCATACAACATATGACAGAGCCTGGTGGGAGTATTTAGTCCACTGATGGCGTTTTGACGCCTTTGTTGCAGTCATTTCTCCATTTTGCAGGAGTCTTGCCATGGAGCTCGAGTATTTGACCAGCCTCGGGCGCATGGCCCAGTGATGCCACGAGACCTCGTGTCGCACACGAGCCCTTCACGGGGGCCTCGGCGTCCAAGGTTCAGCATCATCGCCACGGAGCCGATTCTGTTGCACCACCCAGAGGCCGTTCAGATCTCACGCCAGTACGCTTAATGCGCTGGGCCCTGCATAGAGGGATGAACACATAGCTGGGCCTTGCAGATGTATCCCCTTAAGCTGGGTACGACGGGTGTAGACTAGTTCTGCGTATTTCCATCGTGTATATTTCGAGCTATGCCAGCTATGTGTGTACAGCGGGCATGAAGGGTGGCTCGGTGGCTCGGTTATCTTTTTAGGTCTCCGCACAAGCTTATTGAAGCTCCAGTCTGGAGCAAACATCAAGCACCTTGTGTGAGATGTTGCCATTCCAAGCATGTTGCCCATAATAATATGGTCAGTTTGCTATGCCGTGCTTTCGTTCATGTCCTCCTCCATTCATTCAGTAGCCAGAATGTTTGGCGATACCCGGGATAGTGTCAGGATTCCCCATCAACTGTGGAAGTGGCTCAGGCAGGATTTTTCATTAGTCTGACTAGCAGAAACGCTGCTTCCCCTTGAGGGCTACGACAGCAATCAGTGACAGTCTGTTAGAGATGATACCATCGAATGTCTAATCAACAATTGTTGACGATGCACAACTGATGTCCTGCAAAATCAATTCGGGAGACTTGTTTTCTTACTGGTGAGACATCAACAAAACGTTCCTGCGCCGTCAACAAAAAGCATCAAACATGCACGCCTGCTCAACTAATCCTATGGAGGCTTGGCAAAGAAAGTTGCAACAAAGCTTCATGAAACACAGACAGAACAACGCATTTACCTAACACCAGCGCTTACAAAGGTCAATATATATATATATATACTATGTATAGTCTATTCATAGGTGACCATGTTGCCAGCAAAATAGTCATATTCAATTCGTACCTTTAACTGACTGTTTTAGAGCTTTAGAGTTATATACATAACTATGTTGATGTGTGTTACTGGAGCCCTGTGGAGAATTTGTGCACAAGTGACTTGTTTGGGAACAGTTGTCAAAGGAGTAGGGCGACAAAATCGCAAAGCACAGCTTGGGCAGCAAGAACCTCGAAAGGCAGAGGAGGCAAAGCCAGTCCTTGACAATCTTGTTCTTCTATATCTTCTACGTATCGTAATATTTTCTATACAATTGATCTAACCTGACTCCATTTAGTTACAGAAAGGCTTGTTGCCAGCGCCGAAACTACCAATAATTTGGGCATATCTATCAGTATGCTTGGTTGTTTCGCGCTGTCAACAATTCCTTTTTGCCTACTACAACGGTTCTGGGTTCTTCAGTCATAATTCTTTCCCTATAATTCATGGTGTGTTATAACAAAAAACAAAAAACAAAAAACCAATGTTGAACAATGACTTGAACTGGCTTCTTCTTCAGCGCCTCCCAGTTCTCCACCCCAACCAGAGCGTCTCTTGAGACAGATCGAGGATGGGGACGTGCTTGTGCATCCAACCAAAGCACAGATTTCGGCCCGGAGAATCCAAATGCAGATTTGTAATATTCAGAGAGGATGTCACCTTATCATCGGTGCTGCCGGACAATGGAATGCCGAAGCTCATGAGAAACTCCTTCAATGGCTCTTGAAGGCAGAACAGAAGCGCTCTCGGACCGAGACACCATCGCCGTCCTCTATTCCAGCCCTACAAGATGCGCCTGTGGCTCTGGCAATCATGGATGGCAAGATGGATGATGTTGATGCGCAGCCAGATCTTCAGCAAGCAGTTCGTGCACCTCGTGAGCAGCCCCCCAACCTCAAGGAAGTCCAGCCCCCGAACGTCAAGGAAGTCGAGCCCCCGAATTTGGCGGAAGCCATCCACGAAGAGCCTCCGAACCTCAATGAAGAAGAGCAGGATGACTCATCTCAGCACCACTCACCGAGGGCATCCGAGCCAGACTCATCCTCTTCCTCGTCTTCTACATCTTCGCCAATCCACAAGCTCCGCGAATCGCGAGCCACCATCCGAGAAGTGCGTGAGGGATTGAGTCTGCTGAGGGAGCCGGTGGCCGTGATTTGTGCAGACTGCGGTAGGGCGGTGGATCATCTCCACGGTCTTTTGGCCAAAGCTTTGGAGTAGATAACTTGAACAATGACTTTGTAGCGTCTTCTGGCATCACAACTTTGCAATAATAATATATCTGGAGTGTAGCAGCAAAGCTTTGCAGTCATATAAACAGCACGTGTCTGGATCTGGGATGTTATATATGGAAATGATTCGGGAGGCTGTCACACAGGCTCGCCCCCTAATTTTCTCGTGGGTTCCCCGTTTGGAGGTCAGACCAGCGAAGCGGGGGTTCACTAGGCAGTTGATGTATGTTGATGTGCGATATGTTTAAACACCCTCAACCTAGACTCGACGCTAAAATGTTTGCATGGGCGAATGCATGTGGATACTACGTACATGAATATACTCATATGTATATGTGGAGTCTAAGTTTACTATGCGTAGCTGATAGATGCCACAAGCGGTCCCGCCCTAAGCACTGATATCGTGCACATTCAGACAGGGATTTTTTAAGTTAGGCCAACAAAAGTTAGCCATACAGGCCATACAACATATGACAGAGCCTGGTGGGGAGTATTTAGTCCACTGATGGCAGAGACACTGGCACAAATTTAACCGTTGGTCCACCATTGGCCATAAACAAAGCAGTCCGTGCAGCTTATGTGTTGTGTCAAATGGTTTGGTCCTCTTTGGTCTTCGTGGAAACTGGTTGATTTTTGCGTCAGGACCCTCCACCAGAGCCGGCAGAAGCTAGCCTGGCTTTCGCCGAGGCGATGGCACTGTCCTGAATGGAGTTGTTTGAAGTTCCTTGCAGTGTTTTTGGATGAGTGTAGCGGCAGTGTAGCGCTACTCAACGCTTTGTCCAAAATCAAGGAGTTGCACCCGTATCTGGTTTTCTTGACTGACAAAAAAATAGGGTTCAATACAAATAAGAAATGCGAAGCCCTGGGGCATCATGGCCTTAGCCAAGCCGCCCTGGCCATCTTGTCGTCCAAGGCTGAAGATCGTGGAGGGCGAGCCGATACTCCTCCTGTGCCGCCCAAGGCAGGGTGCCTTGGTACACGCATACTTGAAGATGCCTCCAGAATTTAGAGTTGGTTGACCTGGGGGCTCCATAGCTGTGATGACGCAAGATGACTCTAGTGTGAAACGCGGGCGTTTCATGCAACTTGGGTCGGATATATATATATATATATATCGCAGCCTTGCTTTGCAAGCGAGGGTGAAATCACGAGGATGGAACATGTTGGAAGTATTAAAAGCTGCAGCAAGCAGCGGCTGAAGGAGACGGCGTAGGATGTTTTGGGGAACGTCGGATCTGGATCCCTGCAGCCCGATCGACTTGCCGGAGGTGCATCGACGCGGTGCAGAGGACGGAGGCGATTTTCGGGAATCTAGAGGGTGCCTTGGTACACGCGTAGCAAAAACCGCAAATACTCAAGAACTGCTCTGGGACCTAGGCCAAACGTATATTTTTCAACCTTCCTGTGCCCAGTCTCGATGTGCAATGTCAATTACAACAATTAACAGCTCTTCGTCTGCCTGCTATCACTGTGTAACTCCAATGATAAGTATTATCAGGTTAGTCTTTCTCTGCGCGCAATGACTGTAGCATTACGAGCGAATATAGATATACTATTCTATATATATATACATACACCAAGATGAACATGTATGTCAATGATACTGCTTTAATCTCTTGCTTATTTAACTTTCATGAGTTTTTTAAAGTGTCCTTTGGGCAATAAAGTCATCAAAAGATTGTCACAAGGGCGCCTTCTCTCTTTTTTTGTCACTTGTACTCATCTCTGTTCATCTGCCTCTACCAAAGCCTTTTGAACCGAAATCATAAAACCATACCAGACAAATCATGGCAGCAGATGGCAAGGTCACGTTGTGTCGAGCAGAGAGCAGCGAGCCCTTCACGTCTCGGCGCCTCGGCGTCCAAGGTTCAGCGTCCAGCGAAGCACCGACCCGATCCTGTTGCGCCGCCAAGAGGACGTTCAGATATCACGGTTTAGTCTAACGCGCTGTAGTGGACTTGACGGTTGGCCGAGCCGCTCCTGATCTTCACAGTAGCTTGCTTCAAAGTCGTTCGTGAAATGTGTCTTAAGCACACATAAACAGGTCATGGAGTCATGGAGCCATGTTGATTTGTCAGAGGGCTTAGTTGTCCCTTTGGCTTCTTTCTGTGGAAGGACTTGGAAGATGCTAAGCAGAAACTGGAGGACGTTCAGATATCCTGTTGCCATTTAGTTTGATTTCACAGAGCCAGGTGTATGCCTTGGGTCTGTCCTACCTGTAACAGTCAGCAAACAAGTAACCATCATCACCCACTGGGCCCTGGCAATAGGATAGACCCAAGCAATGCCCTTCTGTTGGATGATGTGTGGTTTGGTGAGTTGGGAGGTGTCACGCAGTAAATGCAGTGTTACGAGCTGTGGTCGTTCGGAGATTTGACTCAACCCTCATTTTCCAATCAATTAACCATCAGCTCTGTGGGAAAAAGCGCTTCCCTCCGAGATCCTACCCGCGCACCAATGAGCAGCAAAATGCATCAGGAACGAAGGAAGAACCGGCGCCGCGTGAGTAGCAGTCTACTCATGTCGCGCTGTGCGTTTTTTCAAGGCTACATTGCAACATAAATTGCTACATTGAGCGTAATTTGGTGTATTTGGCCGGAGATGGAGCTCGGATACTTGACCGGCGTTGGGTGCAGGGCCCAATGATGCAACGAAGTGATTTCGTGCCTCAGAAGAGGGTGTTTCTTGACGTTTCCTGGTGCCTCTCACCCCTGGCCATCTCGGCGTCCACTGGAACGACGGAGGACGGAGGCGATTTTCGGGAATCTAAGGCAGGGTGGCTGGGTACACGCATACTTGAAGCTCCAGAATTTAGAGCTGGGGGTTCCATAGCTGTGATTACATTACCAAAGCGCTACAAGATGACTCTTGTGTGCCTGTTTTTTGCGCACATAGACCTTGGGTTGGGTTTGAATCACAGCCGTTCTCTGCAAGCGAAGGTGAAAACATGAGGATGGAACCATTGTACAACTTGCTTCGAAGTAGTTGGGACGTGTCTTGGCCAGACTTCAATAGCTCATTGAGCAATTTTGGCATGTCAGAGCGGCTTAGTTGCCCCTTTAACTTGTTTCTGTAGAAGGATTTGGAAGATGCCAAGCAGAAAGTGGAGGATGTTCAAATATCACGCATTGACTCTTGCCGTTTAATTTGACTTCACAAAGTTTTTGAGCCAGAGTCGTTGGGAAGAGTACATAAATTGGAATTGCTTGAAGAGACAAAGCCTCGCCACACTTCTGAGCTTGATGAAGCTGAGAAGAAAGAACGCACTTGGGAGACAAAACTGGAGGCCTTGGGGGCTGCAGCGCGGGACGGACATGTCGAGGTGCTTTGGTCAGCGCCTGCTACAGTAGTGACGTGACAGAAATAGACAGAGCTAGTCCTCACCTGTCGGCCCCGGATTCAGGACATAGATCAGAGGCCAGTAGTAGCGTTTCGAAGAAAGACGCTTTGGTTGCTCCGCTTCTGTTTTGTTCAATGTAGGACGGTCAAGTTCAATCGGAGATGGGGATGAAGGTGGAGTGCGACCAAGCAGACAAGCATGAGACCTAGCGTTTCGCAATTGCAGGAACCATTTGGCGCCCGCAAAGTGATTTTCCACACCCGATTGTGGGCATTTGGCTGGTCTTGGACATATCCTTTTGGCTCAGAATCCGGCGCAGACAGAAGAAGGAGGCGAAGACGGTGAGAACCTCAGCCACACAATCATCCTGGACCGTCAAAAGACATGTCTTGATCTCTCTTAAGCTATATACTCTAGCGGACAACCAAAGTCTAGATCGCCGCATCGCTCATGTGGGAAGGGTTTTCGGTTGACTGTTGGAGTTGCTCTAGTGATTTTGCAACGCGAAGGTTGGTCCGTTAAGGAGAGGAGCCACAGGTTCAACGGGCAACAGATTAACAAGTTGTACTATTCTCCACCTGAGAACCTTGAATAGAGCAGCTGCCTGACAGGAAGCTCAATGGCGACTTGGTCCTGGTCGCCTCGCTTCTTCCACTGCAGCTCCTGGGTCGATTGCTACAGTTACAGTTGATTTCAAGGGCCTTGACTGGGTGAGGCTAGGCTGATGGCAGGGCAAATTGGGTCGCATTTAGCGAGGAAACCATAGACAGTTCAATATATATATATATATATATCAACAGCATTACAAAGATGCAAAGAATCAGACTGGATCACTACAGTATGACAGCAACGCAAAGAATCAGACTGGGCTTGTATGATCTTGTGTGTTTTTGGTAGCTGAGACGAAGATGTTGCGCCCATTTTGCGAGTTTCTTTCTGCCACGTCGAAAGCTGGCACCGTTGGCCCCCCCCAAGTGAGGTCGACTGTATCGGCAACAACCGGGAAGAGCAGCTGCGCCAAGTTCTTGGGACGAAACTAAGGCACGGAAGGGCCTTCTGCAGCGTGGGCCGTGGGGTGGACAGTCCACCATCCACGTGCCCCAGCAGTGGCGCTTCAAGAAGTAAGTAGGGTGTGACCATTCATCCGTTCCGGTTTGGGTGCAATGTTCCGTAGAGGATGAAATCCATCGGGCACTGCACGGGCAAGGCAAACCAAAACAATGTTGACTTGACAAAGGGTTGAAATGACGACTGTCCACTCCAATTTGTCAATCTACAGAGTGCTTGAATGATTTTGATATTGTTGTAAGTTGTACTGGCATAAGTTGCTCCATCAATTTTCCAACTGCTGCTAATGTAAACCGACCAACATGCTGTGTCCAAGTTAGTTCAGTTCTCATTTTGCTACTTCCCGCTTCAGTTTATCGAATTGCGCTAGCCACTTTGGCCCACGGCTTCAAGGCATGAAGAGCATCTTCACACGCTTTCCGGATGCTAGCAAACGCTCTAATACTGTGATGGATGAATTGACGCTGTATGTGGTGAATTTGTGCCAAACACCCCACATGAATAGACCGCTCTGGGCGCTTCTCATGAAAAGCGTATGAGAACCTCAGCTCGCCTTTGGTGAGCAAGAGTTGACAATGATAGCAAACCATTCCTTTCCTGGTTGCGACCTTGATGTCCTTGATGCCAAGCTGAAGATTGAAGTAAGTTTCGCCCTGGCCCCTGTGATCACTGGAAGCGGAATGTGTAGCGGGAGTTGAAGAAGAAGCCGCGTCGGATCCCTGCGCCGTCTGTTCCCAGTTGGCAGCATCAGCCCACGCAGCTTCGTCAGCCTTCATTGCCTGAGCATGCTCCCGGTCGCAAGCCTCAGGCATTGCCACTTCTATCGTGTGGAGCGCTTTCCACCCTGTAGATGGGGAAACTCATTTCGCCATATTTCGTGTCAATTTCGGACTCTGGCGTTTCGGAAACCTACGATGACAAGTAGCCGCTCCTGAAGGCCTGGAGGGAGCACCCCTCGTACTTTCGGTGCTTTGGGGGCAATTCTTTTCTGAGTTGCTCTGCAGTAACAGAAAGATGCGGAGGGCAAAGTTCTGACCATGAAAATGTTCTCAACACTTCGTTGGTTGATAAGTTAAGCTATCAGTTCCATCACCATCCATCGCCGGATGGTTCTCACCTATACATACTCACCGTGCTCCCACCGTACGGACCAGGCGCTGAAGGTGGCGAAGTCCTCAACTGAGGCGGTGGATGAAATGGATTCGGCCGGGTGGGGCGCCTGGAAGACGGAGAACCGCCCAGGATCTCACGGGCGGGAAAGGAGTCACGTTTGAGCTTGGCGAAGTCCCAAGTAGCAAGTATATAGCAGGTCCACGTGTTGCGGGAAAGTAAAGTGATTGGACTTGAATGTCTTTTGTAGCTAAGACGAAGATGTTGCGCCCATTTTGCGAGTTTTTTTCAGCAACGTCGAGCGCTGGCACCGTTGGCCCCCCATATGAGGCCTCTCTTCGGCAACAACCGGGAAGAGCAGCTGAAACGTGTTGGGATGACGCCGAGGCAGGGAAGGGCCTCTTGCAGTGTGGGGTATAGAAAGTCCATCGCGTTCTGGGGTCCTTTTGAGGCGACGCTATATATTTCGTGTCAACCACCGTGATGTGCCACAAGATGAAGTTCCTCAAGAGCCGGGGATCACGTAAATGATCCGGAATTGTTCAAACATCTCTTTCCAAACAGTGAGGGGTTCTTATACGGTAGTAGAAAAGCAGCTGATGCTTAGATCGCTGAAGCGCGCGGGCGTGACCGGCTAATTCGCTGCTGTTTACAATACATTCATGCCTCTCGAAACCGACGAAGTGCATTTCGACTGCGCAGGCTCGCAGAATCTGGGGGCCGGCGGCGGGTGCTTCGAGCGACTGCGCTCTCGTTGTGGCATTTTGGTTCATGGTGGTCACTTTTCGTGGCAGGCGCAAGGGAAACCTCGTGTTTGGCGCTCCAAAAGTCAACGTTTCGTGACAGGCGCAAGGGATCGGAGCTGTCTTACTTCGAAATGCAGTTTTCGTGGCAGGTGCAGCACTTTGGGCATGGTGGTGATCGTTGGGGAGCTCAGATTTCGTGACAGGTGCAGTGAATCGTGACTTTTGGACTGGCTCGTTTGCAGATTTCGTGGCAGGCGCAGCAGTCTGTGACGCTCGATGTGCAGATTTCGTGGCACAGCATTCTGTGACCCTCGATGTGCAGATTTCGTGGCAGGCACAGCGCTTTGTGAACCTCGAAGTGCAGATTTCGTGGCAGGGGCAGCACTTGGTGAACCTCGAAGTGCAGATTTCGTGGCAGGGGCAGCACTTGGTGAACCTCGAAGTGCAGATTTCGTGGCAGGCACAGCGCTTTATGAACCTCGAGGTGCAGATTTCGTGGCAGGCACAGCACTTGGTGAACCTCGAAGTGCA